TTATAACATTATGGGCTTTACAAAACTTAACATCCTGCATGCAATCGGTAAAAGTTTGTCTATTACACGTAATACTGATCAGGAACTTTTTCTGAAAATTATTCCTTCAAATATTTATTTTAATTCTTTTTTTAATGACCAAAAATGGAAATTTTATCAATGTATCTATCAGACAAGAGCTCTTGAACTTTCAAGTATAGATCCTTCTCCTTCTCTTGTCAAGATATCCTGAAAAAATTGGGTAAAGATTTATTAATGGATACCAAGAAGACAGATTATGGAGAAAAATATCCGGCTTGATAAGTGCAGATTAAAGATTTGAATAATGTTTGTTTTCTGTGTATCCTAGTGTCATTGATAGTTTAAGAAGGTCACAAAACAGCCTTACATAAACTTCCTGGTTCGCAGTTAAGTGTTTAAGCAATCGATTGCCTTGATCTATTTTTTTTATACTGATGTTAAAAAATAAGTTTGATGACTGTGTTTTAGTTATTTTCCATTGTTTGAGTTTTACATACAGTCGTAGTATTTTTATCTCTCTTTTTTATGACTTTTGAATGGATGTAAATAAAACTCTTAGTACATAACACTTTAAAGTTGTAAGTGAAACAAATGACTTTATAGTTATGAAATGACTGTCTTACTATTTTGTTAAATGTTAGGTACCTATCAATTCGCATGATTTTGCTTGATGATTAAGAGCCTATTTTACATCTCCCTTTAATGATGGGGACTTTCTCTTGTAGGTCAGGTTTCTTGTATTAATACTGTAGATCACCAAACTTTTGCAACGTACACCTTATTTTTGCGAGAAAATCTTATGGTATTTTTGAGCGAGACAATATTTTCATGAATTCTAGTTATTGTTATATAATCTTTAATGATAAAAATGTATGTGAGAATGAAATTGTCGAGAACAGATGGTCTTGTGTAACTATTCTCATGAATAAGAAGTGCCCTCAATTTCAACCTTGTTTTACCAAAACATTAACTACAGAATGTTTGTATAACATGAAAAATGATGGAGGGGGAGTATATATATATATCAGCAGCAAAGATTTTTTTTTTCCCAAGGTCACAGTATTTTTCTCAACTGTCGTGAAATTTTAGTATTGTATGTCTCTTTCGTAGTCTGTATCAATGAATTCTTTTTCAATAGAAAGTCTTTTTTAGATATATTTCTCTCTAATTTCTAGCAAGAAAATGACTTGTGTCAATTTTTATACTTCTAACAATTGAAGCTACAGTCTGGAGGAATATTATTTTGACAATAAATGAAGTAGTGGTAATCAGGCTGTTAAGAAAGAAATAACAAATTCTCTTATTTTCTTTCATGAATGTGATTAGATAGGTGATGCATGTAAAACATCCAAAAAAGGGGGGGAGAGAGACAAATTGAAATGAAGTCTTATTTTACTAAACCTTTAATTTTTAAGATTGATTTGTAATTAATTTATCATTCTAGAAATTATACAATCATGATTTTAAAAAAAAATGTTATTGATTTATTTCTCAGTTGCAAAGACTATAATGATAAATCATTATGCCACCGATGAAGACAAAAAAGTAGTTCCCACATCATTATCTTTAAAATTTTTGTGAATTGATGCAAATGTGCTAGTTGAACCTGTAGTTTCCCAAAAACAGAATGTGTTTGGATCTCCTAATTGGTTGAAATGATGATGTGATTCCTCCTTTAAAAGAATTGAGAGATCTTTTTTCTTGCGCTCCATGAGATCCTTTACTTTGTTATGGAGGAAAAATTAGGAAATTGTAATTGAAGCCATTTAGGTAGGATACATCACTAGTGGGTGTGTTACATTGTAGAACTGTAAACAGGTTCAAAAGGATTGACAGCTTAAAATCCTTGTATGATACATGACTGTGTTTGTGATCATTCATAAAGTGTGACTGATAACCTGAAAATCTGACTCTGTGACCAAAAAGGAAATAAATTTAAAATATACATGTTATTTAGGTTGGAATATGTGGGTGATACGATGCTTGAATGCATTTCATACTCTTGAGATACAATTAAAGTAGGGGAATTGCAGTCTGAAGTGTTTTATTGTATTAAAAAGTTCAGATTTTTATGATACATTAGTTTATCCGAGTATATGTATAATTCTATTAATATTAGGGATCAGTATTTTGACTGTAATGACTTGTTACATGTACTGTTGTTTTAAGGAGTTTTAATTAATTTAATTAGCACTTGAATAGCATCCCTAGACATGACACAACAAAGTTGTATATAAATTCAAACTTAAATTATCATCAGGAGTGCATAATGAAATTGATCTATCCTTTTGTCTGGTCAACAATTTTGTTCATATTCCTTATTTAGAACTGTAATGAATGACCTTTTATATTTAATCTTGAAAATTTTACACACAAGAATTCAGGAAAACTTGTTTTTAATGTTGCCTGTTTAGATGACTTTGGCCTTGATTTTCAACCTCTAAATTGTCAATTGAGGATGACCATATTTTTTTAACTTAAAAAAAAAAAATGACGATAAGTGAGCCATGTATTGTTTACAACTGAGCTGAATTTCATTCAATTTATGGGTTGGAATTGTCTTGTATCTGAATTTTTCTCCAATTTATCATGTCATAACTTGAATTTATCTGTTGTCTGTTTGGACACTGGTTTGATGATCTACCTTACATTGTTCATCTACTAACACTTCCCAGATAGAAATATTATCGTCTGAGTGCTCTTTTAAATAAGGGTGAAGAGATTTTATCTTCCGTTTTTTTTTTTATCAATCTTATCTTACAACTGGGAATATGATCAAGGCTACCCGTTTTTTACCTGGAGGTTCTTTTAAAAATGATGCATGTAAAAGCACAATTTTTTTTGTCTTACGTTTTTCACAATTGCTGAGGCAAATAATAAGTGTAAAATTAGAGAGGAAATGTTTTATTTAACAGAATCAAGGTCAATAAAGATAACAGTTTATTTTTATCAGGCTCTTTTTTAAAACTACAAATAGGTAAAAATTGAAATTGTTCACTGGGGCACATTTTGGAATTTCCTTTTTCAGTGGAAACTCGTATTTTCTTCATGCACTCTAGTATCTTTGTACATCTCTATAAGGAAATGCACAAGGTATTGCAGGTGCACAGAGTGTTTCCAAGAAATCCATTGATTGCATATTATTGTCTAGATTTGTATAGACAAGCAAAATTATACCATTGTACAGGGAATTTTCTATGCTTTCCACATAATACCTATATTGTTAAAAATGATGTAGGAGATACCAGAAACAGATATCTATTTATCAAAACTTTTGATGGCTCATTATGAATTGAACAAGTCAATGAATTAGACATTTAAACCACAGGTTGGTCAAAGTCTGCAATTTGCATTGATCATTCAGTCATGAAAATTAACCTAGTGTAAAATCTGCAAATTTGACAATCTTTTCTGAGAATTCTAATAGAGTTCAAGCTTTGAAATTTTGAAAAATGATGATTTGATATAAGAGTGTCAGGATTTTATTTCATGGTATTTTATTATCTGATTTTCATGTTGGAGACATCTAACGAATACTTATCTTTACTTACTCCATGCACCCTGCAAATTGTTATTATCCATGTAATGTTAACAAGTACATTCACATTGAATTTTCGTATCAGCATTTGTATCTTGAATTTTATAGGCCTGAGGAAAGAGAGACATATTTTTTCCCGTAATATTTTTATCATTGCAGAAATATGCACCCTTTGTATAACTTTGTTATTCTTTAAAAACAAAAACAACAAAACAAGAGTCTAAAACCCAGAATGACTTAAAATTGACAAAAATTCTTAGCCAAATGAAAGTGCAGCTATACTTTTACTAGAGTGTAAATAATAATTCCTTGTAGACCAGTGCTAATTAGGTATTCAGTCATAAGGTGTGAATATCTTCTCTAATGTCAAAGAACTTAGTGCCCAGATGTAAGCAAGGTCCAAAAGACATCATGATAAAGCAATTCTCAATACTTTCATGGTATAACCACCTCAGAAAAAGAGAGGAAAAACTAAGTCACTCCTTTCAACACGGCCCTCAGGTGTTCCATACTTTTGTTGTTGTTGGGGAAGGAGGGGGGAGAGAGATTGCATTCACTACACTATAATGAATGTTTGCCTGATTCAAAATAAATCAGTTTTATCCTCATCCAATGTCAAACTACAATTAATAATCTTGCTTATGTTGGACTTTTTAAAATTCACAAAAAAACAAAGGAAGCAATTATTATGGCTACAAGATGTCTGTCAGGTGTATTTAAAGGAATTAATTAATGATAATGTGGCAAATATTTTTTATCTTTTTTTTCTCTCTTTCTATTAAAGTAAGTTGCAAGTTTTGTTACCAAATACACATTAATGCTGCTAATGAAATTAAATATGCTAATATCCATAATTCTACTTTTTTCAATTGATTATTTTTGCAATATCGTTTCTTTATGCACTCTGAAGTTTCCTAAATGTACATCAAGGATTTTTTTTTTTTTGTTTTTTTTTTTTTTTGCAAATAACAGGTTACCAAGTAAAATTTAAAATTAAACTCTTACAGTGAATTAGATTATATAAAATATGAAGATCAGATATCATAAAATACAAGTCTAACTTCTGTAGATTATAATCTCTGCTGGATCATGTTTGCTTGAGATCAGTATCAGGACCAATCAAGTGATACTGTCATCTGGTATATTTGTTGTATTAAAATTACAGGATTGGACAATTCACCAATAAGAATTGGAGTGAATTAACCCAGTGTTTTCCCACTTCCTGATGAAACTTTTTCTTCTATTTTTCTGATCCAGTAATCTTCTTACAGTTACACTCATACAAACCCAAATTTTACAGCTAAAATGAGAGAAACTGTCCAAAATAAAAGTTAACCTTTTCCTTGACATTAGGAAATATTAATTAATTAAATATGGCAAGTTTATAGCCACAACAGGATTAATTTATTTTTAATAAATTCTCATATCAATTTTTTTTAAGGTCGCAGTCATCCAGTCAGAGTGGTTGATTCTTCACCTAGAGATTCTACAGCACAGAGTGCTTCTAGGCCACGATCAGGTCATGTGTCGAGTTCTAGGAAAAGCCCATCCTCAGGGACAATGTCAGAAAGAAACACGAAAACTTCCTCAGTAGGAGCCACAGCAACAGAGGATGTGGAGGTAGCAGAGGAGGCTGCAGCCTTTGCATACCAATCCTTTAATCAGGACACAGGGGGAGTTGTTAATATGGCCCCCGAGGTCCAAATACAACAGGAGATCCCATTAGAGGATTTATCAAGGAAAAAGAAGAGACACTCAGGGAGAAAGCTCTCAGGGACAAAGTTAATTGGGCCTCAGTCTACTCATCCAAGTAGAAGTCACTCCCACAGTCCTAGGCGGAATGAGAAAAAGCAGACAAAGAAAGGACTTGCTACGTCATTGACGGTTACAATTACACAGCCAGAAGTCAGCAGGCCCCATAGTAACAGTAGTCCAATCCCACTGAGCTCCTCCCCTGCACAATCCTCCACCTCATCCTCAGAAAATAGCCCTCAGACTTATGGCTTTACTCGAGACACATCTAGTCAGTCCCCCAAAACCCTCAGACCTGCTGATGCTCCAACACTCTCCCTTCTTCCTCAGGGTGGAGATCAGATCAATTCGGAGGAAAACTTGGGGCCTAAATTATTGCCTCCTACAGAGGTAGAGAGAATCAGAAGTGTTAGTGATGTGTCCAGCTCAAGCAGTGACACTCAAGGAGAACTGACTAGAAGCAACAGTAGTGGATCAACTAGTGCAAGTAAACCACTGTTTGCTGTGAAAGCTTCTTCTGAAGCAGAAGTGAACAAAAACTCTGCTGGGGGTCAGATAGTGCAGGTAGGTCAAGGTCTGGATGAGTCCACCTCACAGCAGTTGACTAAATTGGCTCAGATGGTTCAGCAGCACTATGGCTCCGTGGAGGAGGAAGAGGATCCAGAATCCAGTCTGGATGGGAACCTGCAGGGTTCTATTAAAAATGTGTGATATACATGTATGTAATGGGTATTAGGTGATATTTAAAGTCAAGGAGTGATTTTATGTTAACTGCAACAATTGGTTACAAAAATGACTTTTAATTGAACAAAGATGTGATTTCTTTTCAAATATATGCATACTTGTATTTTGGAAAATGTGATTTTTTTTCAGTTTTAGATTTTTCTTATTCACTTTTACCAGTAGAATGATTTCTGCTTTATATATCGGTATGCACAGATAACTTACACTAAAAAGATAACAAAGATTTTAAGATATTGTAATGGTAATAAAAGTAGCCTTAATACATGTGATGCATATTATTCTTTCCCATGTATGTTTAGAAAATAATGCTTGTTTATGGTGGTCTAAATTATTTTTCTTTTCTTTTTTTTTGGGGGGGGGGGGTCCAAGATTATTTAGTTGTTTAAGGCATTTGAATTCATAGACTTGGTGTCAATTGTGATAACTAAGAATGCTGGTAAAACTATTATACAGGCAATTTAGTATTGAGGCAACATTAAAAGTTGATTTTTGCATTGACTATTTCAAACTAATTCCCAACAAGTGGGGAATCATTGTACATTGTGAAATGTGATGTGTCTCTTAAGAATGTTCTGTGGAAACTTGTGCTCTTCTGCCTTCAAATTAAATAAATTAAGGCCATACTAAAGTCAGGAAGGGGGGTGGGGTGGGGGGGGTTACAATAAGCAGGTACAGTGTTTAACTCTCTGGTCAGAGAGATATTCTATGCAGGTGTGAAAATGAATTGTAGAAAATATTTCCAATATGTTGTTTACCATAAAATTCTCAAAAATACAATTCATATTGCAGTCAATGCTATAAGTTTAGCATTTATAGAAAAGTGGTACAATATTTTTTTTTTTTTTTAAATCTCAAAACTGAACAATTTTTTGACAAAAGAGCCTCCACTCCAAATTTTAACCCCATCTCAATCTCACACTGTCACCAGGGACCCCAGGATGCACTATGCAAGCTTCATTTTTGCTTTTGTTATTGTCTAAATAATCTTGTAAAAAGGGTACTGGTGATTTTTTTTTTTTTTTTTACATTTTCATTTCCTCAATAAATATATAGATATACTTTCCTTATAAAAACTGTTTACTTTCCTTGAACCTTAAACACTTATATATGTGTACTCTACTTCTACGCCTACTATATGTGACGCAGGGACTACTTTGGAGTGAGTAATAGAGCTTGCATAGCGGGTATGAGAGACCACCCCCCCCCCCCCCCCCCCCCACTTGAGAAAATGAGAAAAGTGTGATGAGCCGAAAATGTAAATGCAGAATATAAAACTAAAAGTTTACTTGAGTTATTTTAGATTCTTTTTGCCGTTAAAGTAAAAATTCACACATTTTTCTCTTTTTTTCGATTTTGTTTTGGGCTTCCTGGAGAGTTGCTATACAGAAAATGAAAATGAAAGAAAATCAATGTGGGTTATTCAAAGACGATATTTAAACTGACATAATAATAGATTAACAAGAATTCACACATTTTATCTGTTAAGATTAGTTATCTAGGGCAATTACTCAGATAATTTATAATTTATTAAGGCAATTTTGCGATGTGTACATTAAAAGATCAGACTCAAGATAAGTTAATTTTAGAATTTCTGTTCATTTTATTTTAATTCCTGGAAGAAACTTTATTTAAATATGTCTTTATTTTTAAAGTGCAATATGTATTGTATGTGTTGTTAATTATTGTACACCTGTTTGTTAAAAAAAAATAAATAAATTTTTCATTGAAAAAGAAAAAGAAATTCATTGTAACTGAAAATAAAGGTATTATGGAGTACAAAATAGAACTCGACTTTCTTTGATGAATCATGTAAGTAGATACACTGCCATGCTTCATAGGTAGAAACATAGTCACCTAGAAATAGAATCTAACAGCAGTAATAAATTGTACTCCATAACTCGTTATAGAATATGGCATAAATTTAGAAGTGACCTTGACATGTTAATCTACAGCTGATAAAGGGTGATACGACACGTATTTCCCATTAACAGCAAGTTTTAAAATATCTCGGACGTCGAGGAGCACTTGGCCCTACAAATGGACTCGGTGAGGTTGCAACTGAAACTTCCTATCGAATGGTCATGCACCAGTTTTCAAGGCAATATCTGAATGATTATGTTTTTTTTTTTTTTTTTTTTTTTTTAAGGTCTTTTTTTATTCAGGTAGTATTTTCTATATGGGTAGATATGACATCCTCATACAAGCATGAACAGGGAAGTTTATATTAATACTTTCATTGAATTCATTAAAATAAATTTACTAGTATGGCATATTTAAAATAGCCGAACAAGAAAATTGGCAAGAGTTTCAAAAGTAGATCATAAAATTTTCACTGGGGTTTACAGCAAGGTCTATCAGAAAATTGACAACATACCAAGTGTTTTCCGGGAACTTATTTGTCAATAATTTGTGGAGGAGTATTTCATTGGAAATCAATTTATTATCTAACAAAATACAAAGCTTTCTTGGAAGGTGTAGATTTATCATTGTTTCAAACAGGGTATTGCTGAAACGTACGAAAACAGCACTTTAAAGCTACATCATAACTGTGGAAAGGGGAGGGGGTATTTTCTTCCAAGACCGGAAAGGACACTTTAAAGAAGATGGGCGAACAAGGTGTGCAGAATGCCCATAGCTTCAGATATATAAAATTTATATTCAATTTGTGAATTTAGTATTTAGAGTGAAATAAAAGACTATTAAAAGGAGATGGGTGAACATGACGAGCGATAAGCCTATAGTGTGACAAACATGAAGATGAAAAATTAAATTTCAATTATATCAAAATTTTCCTTGATATTTCGTCTAACATTAAAATATACTTTATATAAAATCTCTATAATTTGCAAAAATCCCTCAAAGATTGAAATTATTTGCCTGAGAAATATTAGACACACACTAAAGCGGGCAAAAAGAGTCATTTTCTCATACTATAATGCTATTTTTCGATATGAGTGGGTCTTCGCTCCACCTTTTTGAAAGTTAATCCTCAAAGTTTGCATAAAAATATACATTTTTTGGTTACCAAAAATATGGAGCAATGACCCACTATACCTTAAAAATATACTTTTGTGACATAACATTCGCATCTTTTCGAGAAATACTTGAAGTCCATTAAGTCAAGGGTCATATCACAAACATGATTTAAATGCCACTCTTCATCAGGACTTGTGTAGTCTAGTGGTTAGCGTGCTAGTCTCGAAAGAAAATAACACTCAGGATTTTTATTGCCAGGGTTCGAACCCCATGAATACCACATATTTATTTTTTTAATAAAAGAATAAATTTTGCCGAGAAAATTTTCCTCAGAAAAGTTTTGTTAGTCCCCTACCGGTGAAACCAGAGGGGACTATAGGTTTCCTCTGAGTCTGTCCATCCGTCTGTCTGTCCGTCTGTCTGTCTGTCCCTCTGTCTGTCTGTCAGTCTGTCCCACTTGGTTTTCCGCACTTTTTTCCTAAACGCTTGCAGATATTGAGCTGATTTTTGGTATGTGAGTGTATCTTGATGAGTTACAGATCAAGTTTGCATTTCGTTCCGCTTCATTGATTTTTGAAGGAATTATGGCCTTTTCAATTTTTAGGGGTTTTCCGCAATTTTCTTCTAAACGCTTTCAGATATTGAGCTGATATTTGGTATGTGACTTTACCTTGATTAGTTATAGATCAAGTTTGCATTTTGCCCCGCTTCATTGATTTTTGACGGAACTATGGCATTTTCAATTCTTAACGGGAACCAGATTACACTTGGCGGTAGGGGACTAGTATTGCTAATGCAATACTTTCAGAATGCTTGTTTATCATAATTTCATAAATGTCAATAATGAGAACTTTACTCTAAATACTAAATTCACAAACTGAACATGATTTTTATACCGGTATATCTGAAGCTATAGGCTTTCTGCACGCTATGTTCGCCCATCTCCTTTATGAAATGATGACAGTCAAA